ATTCAATTCAAGCTGCCACGTAGCTCGTTTCCCTAATTTTTGTGGCCATTAGCAGGCGGCTACGAAAGCATTGTACTCATAGTATTACGAGACAATTATTCATTCGTAATGGATTCGAATCTTACATCGCGTTATACTGGTAGTTTACTGGACGTCCGCCAGACAGAATTACCGATTATAGTGGGTAATACGTTTATTTATAGCTTTATACTCTTATTCGTGCTAACGGGGTTTTAACATGGAATTACTTGGTATAATCTTTATTGACTCCCTCGTTGGCTGAGTGGTCGCAAGTGCGACTGCCGGGCAAGGGGTCTCGGGTTCGATTCCCGGGTCGGGAAAAGTATTAATGGGTTTTAAAAAAAAATCTCAGTTGTAGCACGGAGTGTGGAATTGCGCCCGGTATATGGCAATAGGCTCACCCCCTATTACATGGAACTCATAATATAAGTAGCGAAAAATGGGTGTTACTTCTGTGTGCACCTCTGCCTACCCCTTCGGGGATAAAAAGCGTGATGTTATGTTATATTGTGTAATCGTTATTGCAGCTCGTAATTACAAATTTACAATCTAAGTTAACATGTTCTAGTACAATAGGTCTTTGATTAATAAAAAAACGGTGTTTGAATTAAAAATCTAATGTAATCGGTCAATATAGTAGTAATCTTTCATTTCAAAATCAAAGTTCTTTATCGACCTTGCGTTGTAATGTACAATACACGATTGGGATATAGATAGGTACGAAACTAACATAATATCACGCCTTTTATACTTGAAGTGGTAGGTAGAGGTGCACATTACAGCGATTAATGCACTGTATAATGTAACACCCACTTTTAACTATTTATGCTATAAGTCCCATGTCATAGGGGGTGAACCTGTTGCCATATACCGGACACTAAGATTTAAAAAAGAACTCAGTTATACCTTGCCCGACCCGGGAATCGAATCCAATACCCTTTGCCCGACAGTTCGGCCAACGAGGCAATAAATACGCAAGAATAACAGAAAAATCAATCATCTCAATCAATTTCATAACACGATATTTTTTCACGAATTCAAAACCCGACTTATCGGATATAACGGCCTCAATACGATACGATTCAGTTGTATTCTTCTCAAATTCCGAGAATCGAATGAAAACACGGAATCTCAGTCGACGCCGAGTGATATAGGAAGCTTACTGGCCACACGCCAAAGTGAATTTCCGATTATGGTAAATAATGTACCACTGACAATAAAATACGTCAATTTACTTCCCTTTGTACATACGTTATTTTGGTGTGTGCCTGCCAAGATTGCGTTTGGAGCAATTTCATTGAATTTTTGTATCCTTCTAAGTTTTAGAATACATTTTTTAGATTTGAAGCATTTCTGAGACCTTTTCTGTATGTGGTTGATACATTACTATATTATTTATTGATTGGCCGAGTGGTCGCAAGTGCGACTGCCGGACAAGGGGTCTCGAGTTCGATTCCCGGGTCGGCCAAAGTATTACTGGGTTTTGAAAAAAATCTAAGTAGTAGCATGGATTCTGGAATTGTGCCCGGTATGTGGCAATAGGCTCACCCTCTATTACATGGGAGTCATAACATAAATAGTGAAAAGTTGGTGTTACATTGTACAGTGCCATAATGTGCACCTCTGTCTACCCCTTCGGGGATAAAAGGCGTGATGTTATTTTATGTTATGTAATTATTGTTTGAGTGTTAAGACGTAAAAAATAATTGTATTGCCTTCAACCTCTATGTTGACAGGTTTTGTCACAATATTATCCACAATTTAAATTATTTGGTAGAATTTAAACAATATTATAATTTAATTTAAATACCGTAGAGTTACATATTCAATGTCAGTGTCACTAAAAAAAACCATCCATAAACAGGATGTCCAGTAATTAGAACCATATACTACATGGAATGATTACTTAGATCAATACTTTAAACCACTCAACATGTGTATATTCAGCAAAATGTTTCGGATACATAATTATGAACTGACTAAAACTGAACACTCTATATTTTCGGACACACAGAGCCTCGACAAATCTAGAATCTCCTTACCAATAGACAAGCAATGTACACACGGCCACACATCAATCTATACAAAACCAGTTTATCCTTGTGTCGCGTCGCATCATCTTTCCGCACATTTAACGTTCAGTTTATACTGGTCATTAAAGCTCGATGTGTAGCCGTGTGTACTAACTTACCATAACAGTCATATAAATACAGTATCCACACACACACATGTATATCACAGTATATTGTTATGTTTATTTTACGCGTGAAATTCCTCTACACTGCACAACCTAACCGTGACATTAATTCCACTCATTAAACTCTCAAAGGAACAAAATCAGTCGAATGACCTTCCCTGTATTATCAACTCTGCCTTCAAAGCGTAAAGTTCAAAATGGATTGGATAAAATTTCGTGTTATCTTTATATTGGTGGTCAGATAAAATTAGGAATAATTATGTAGGTATATCATATGGAAAGAGAAAGCTTCTGTAAGCATATTGAATAATGTTATTAAAATATGTGTAGAGAATAAAGTTACAAAATGAATTATTGGTATTGAGCTGACCCGGCAAACTCTATACCGCCTAAAACCTTTTTATCTTACCTTTTAAACCTTCTTTGGACTTCCACGAACATTTCAAGACCAAAATGTGCCAAATCGGTTCAGTCGTTCTCGAATTTTAGCGAGACTAACGAACATAAAATCATTTTTATTTATATAGATAGATAGATAAATAGATTAAAGTTTTGATTTCAAAAATCTGAAGTAGTATCTTTGTAGCTTGGCATTTAAGTGATATATGTATTTTTACTAATAATATGTAGGTATGTAAAAGCGTGTTTGTTTTTCTGTCTTTAAGTTCTGTTTCTGTCTCAGGATTTAGTAACCGGCGACTATTAGTGAATTTAGTATGTCTCACGATAATTCGATAATTGTCTTTAAGTTCTTAGACTATTTTCAGATGTATAAAAGTTGACTAACAATATGTGTTACAGATATAAATTATGTACTACGTATTACGTGATGACTAACTAACTATGTTTCCGCACGTGTCTTACACATGCAAAACGAACAAGAACAAAAGTGATAGCAACAGCCTAATCAAAACAGACTTCAAGCATCTATACTTCAACCAGTTTCACACGCGTAAAGATATCGGAACCTACGCATGTTAAGAAAAATATATATTAGGCATACATTATAGAATGTATCATAAAAATAGGTGGTAGCTACCACAAAATACATTCATTTGAATATGTGAGAATAACATGAATATCCACTCAAACTCATTTGTATTATAAATTTTGTATTACAAATCTCATTTATATTATAAATCGAGTTGAAATGGGGCATTATGTGTTTTCTTTCTCATGTTATTTCTTAAGAAATTTTGTTCAGGGACGCGTATTTTATGTCGAATTTGATATGTGTTTTCTATAATGAAACTATTTGTTTCCATTGAATGTGTGATGATTTGGCTGTCAGATTCGATAATAGGAATAGCTATCAAGTTTTAGTAAGAATATGCATTGAAAATAAATATGTAATGGTTTTTGTATTTGTGCCTAAGCTATAGAAACTTTAGATTTGTGAAGATAGACAAGAATTAACAGAAACTGTGTGTGAGAAACTAATTATGGTTTAAGGCGAATGATCATAAGCTTCATGTATCACCTCCTAACTCATAATAGATTGTTAATTTGTACTGTGCTCTCTACCAATCCCCCGAACACTGAAAGGCGTGTCGTTGACGATATAACACATTTTTTTTAAATTAAATTATTTCATTCTTATGCAATTGATTTTAAGACCTTGCTAACAATTGATTGGAGGAAGAGGAATTAATCTGTTAAAAATTTATTATATTTTTTTAGATAATAGACTTTATATTTACTGTAAGTCAAATTATATTTATTGTAAGTCAAATAACAATGTCATCATTGAGACTGTTAGCCAATTTTGCTATCAGCTATTTGGTTATTATAGGAAAGTTAAGCAAAAGTTGTAAAACTGTGTTCAAAAATGTTGATGAGTCATGGAATGTTATGTCAGAACACTGTTTCCAAAAGTAACTCAACTCAGGTACTTTTGTGTAACTAACTTAGAGCAGGACAACAATACAATTGTTTATTTTAAAAAGAGAGAAAGAGAACTAAGGAACTGTTTTGAAAATAAGTTGTTACATTGTCACTATTTTTTTTTAGTAACTAATTGGTGTAGAGAAAGATTTATTTGTTATTTTTACTGGCATTCAATTGATTATTCCATTTTGTATTGTATGTGTTGAGAAACAGTGTCCCTACTGTGTAATTGTAATCAAATACAATTTTATGTGAATTGAATTTTATTGTAAAATATTTCATAGTCATTGAAATTCACTACTGTGGAATTCTGAACGTGTTTTATGAGTACAATGATCAGATTTCCATAAATATGTAAATACTGTTTACATTTGCAGTATCATGATTGAAATATGCTGAGCTTTTTGTTAAATTAAAATTACTGCTACTCCATTTGTTTGGCCATTTACTTAATTAACGTCTGATGTGATTGTGTTCAGTATTGTCTTTCGATTTAATGAATGTTGATGTTTATAATTCTCTAGTTATGTTAATTTCTCAATGAAACATTCTGAAGCTTTTAGCATTATTATAAGTGTGTATGTGTGTGTGTTTTGTAATCAGGGATTATTAAATAAAAATATCAAATTATAAATCTGTATCATTTTAATTTATTTGTATAAATAACCATTACTGATAATAATATAGAGTGATCACTTGTTTTTGCTATTTACAATCATATACTACAGCAGTCTTTAAAATTTTAATATCTATACACATGATAACGAACAGGCAATAATAGTTCACTTACATACATTTGGTATAGCACTTACATTCTAATAATTACAATATTTACAGCGCGCTACTAAAATCTACAATATTTACAATTGTGACTGGAAGTTGGGCAGGTGCCCGTCTAGACTAGGTAAGCTTGCACAGCGTTGCCCGTATCGACAAGAGGGGGCGGCGGGGGCCACTGGCGCATGTCCCGCCGCCTGCCCGGGGCCATGCCGTGCTCTAGCGAGGAGTAATCAGAGTCTATTGAAGAGTAAATATGATCTGAGATCGGTCGACCATCTGGCCCGTACGCGACCGCCTGCGTCTGCCTCATAGCTGACGGCGACTGCCGCACTTCACTACTGTACTCCGGTGGAGCACTAGCACCTTGACCTCCTCCCAACACAGGTGATCTTTCGGGAAAAGGTAATGTGCGGTTTCCACCGTTAGGCACCGATGAATCTAACGTATAAGTATTCAAACTTTTTCTATAGTTGTGACTCCGCGCCTTGTGGTTGGGTTGAGATTCCGGCATCATGTACCTGAGGCGCTTCCAAAACCTTTTCTCGCCCCATCGTAATCGCGACCCTGTTTTTAGATAGGGCCGCAAATCGGGGTCGCACATCGCATCCGCCACAACAGAGTATTCTTCTATTAGTACTAGCTTATAAATACACCCTTTCAACGCGTCGTGCAACCCTTGTCGGAATTCGTATCGAGACCATTCCGTTTGCATGAAATTTCTCGTTAGTACGATGATTATTCGTTTCGATGCTTCCGCGGTCTCGACGACAGGCGGCGCGCATTGCATGTACTGAGCGCCGTGGTGTGGAATGTCTCTATAATGGAGGCAGAGCCGGTATGATGGATTCCCATTTTCTAGCTCATTCGCCAACGATTGAACGACAGATTCTTCATCTTTCGGGCTGTAGCAAACGTAGGCGTCATATAATTTTTGGCTCTCCTCAAATGCACCCGAGAATGAAAATACTCTTATGCCACAATTTGTGTATAACCATACTCTGAGGGAATCTCTAAAAAGGAACAGTACGACCAGGGCCAATAATATTAACATAAAGCCGGTGAGTGTTGAGACCATCATGGGAACATAGTTGGACACAAGCATGTTTCCGATGACTGAATTATCAGCATAATAATCGCTGCAGGCCGTACCGTTTAAATTGAGCTCTTTTTTCTGTGGCGGCTTCGCGTCGCCGTTCCAACACCATACGTCGGTAATGTCGATGATTTTTTGCGCATTCTCAGCCAAATAAGCAGTTAACTCTTGTAAGTAGCGACATTTGCATGACCACAGGTTGTTGCCGAGTGACAAAGCTTTCAAATTAGGATGGTTGTTAAAAGTCCATACACCAAAGTCAACTAGTCTGTTGCCATCAAGGCGTAATACTTCTAATGACTTTAGAGAAAGGAATGATATGTTGGCGATATGGCTAATGAGATTATTTTGTAAGAACAATTCTTTCAGACTACTCAATTGAAGGAATTCGTATCCTTTCAGTTCTTTAAGCTTATTGTTCCCCAAGTGGAGTATTTGGAGAGCATTCAAGCCAGCAAAAGTTCGATTTTGTATGCTATCGACATTGCTGTTGTTCACGTACAGCGATCTCATTTTCTGCCTTCCAATAAAAACGTGGTCCTGTAGTTCCTTTATATTATTTCCATCTAAAAATACCTCGGTTGCATCCATAGGTATTTTATGCGGTATTTCCATTGAAGATTGTCCGGAACAGTCGACGACGTTAGTGTTCCACAATGGGTCGTGATAACAGGTACAGTTTTGAGGGCATGTCATTTCACAGTCGCACGCATCATAGTCACAGCAATGACAGATTGCAAAACAATGAGTCTCATACTTACAAAGAAAGTCTGTAGTCTTTAAATTAGTTAAGGGCACATGAGTTCCACTTCGAGTGTTCGTCATTTTACACAAAACGTTTTCTAGGTCCATCACACGCGGGTATTGCCTCATAGCGGTCATATTGTTTATGATAGGCAACCACTCCATTGTACAGTCACATTGAAACGGATTACCGCCGATATAAAACTCAGGTAAACTTTTATTTGCCGGCACTGTAGCTAAACGCATACTATTTAATTCTAAATGCACAAGTTCATTAGCATACATGTCCACTCGCGTTAAGTTCTTTTTGTCGAAAAACGTATTCACATGAATATTATTTAGGAAGTTATTGTTTATAAACAACAGTTCAACACTATTAGGAATAGCCATAGGTGATATTTCCGCTATACGATTATGGCTAACGTCCAATGTCTTTATACGAATTTCATCTTGCAACTTGTAGTAGTTACCTAAGTGTTCAATGAAATTGCCGTGAATGTCTAACCACTTTAGATTACTAGGCACAAACGCGTAATCGAACCACACTAGATGATTTTCCGATAAATTGAGCCACAAAAGGCTCGCGAGCGTTGAGAAGACACCGTTGATGTCAGACAGGAAATTCCCGTCGAGCCGGATGGCCTCCAGTTGCATATTTCTACTAAAAGTCCCTCTCTCGATTGACTGGATCTTGTTCTTAGCGATGTTAAGCACTTGTAAGCTCGGTAAGTCCCAAAACATTCCGACGGAAAGGTTCCCAATTTGATTGTCAATCAGTCTCAATCCTGTTAATTGATTTAGGTTTTTGAAGGAACCATTTTTGAAGTCAGATATTTGATTCTCTCCAAGATCGAGTGTTTTGAGGAAGGAAAGTTCCCAGAGTGCGTCAGGAACCTCCAACAGTTGATTGGAGCTCAAATCTAACTCCTTTAAGTCGGAACAATTTTTGAATGCTTTGCGATCAATATTAACAAGCAAATTATTGTTGAGAGTCAATTTACTTAAAACAAATAAACCATTGAATAAGTTCTCATCAATGGTATGAAGTCGATTTTCCGCTAAATTTAATGTATGAAGATTATATAGCGGTAAAAATGCGTTATCTTCGATGTATCCAATAGAATTGTTCTTTAGATTCAATATTTGTAGAAAGAATAAATCTTTGAATGTTTTCCCGTCGATCCTCGTCAAAGCATTGTTGGATAAATTCAAAACTATCAAACGGATTAATCCCAGGAACGTCCCGTCATCAATATGACTACTTGTTAGCTGATTGCTTGATAAGTCTAAAACAATCAGCTGTTCTAAGCGATGAAATATTCCTCTTGCTAATTCAAACAGAGTATTGTCATTAAGATAAACTTCTCTCAGTTCTCTGGCATTTGCAAAAAGCCCGTCGGGCAGTGTGTGTAGATGGTTGTGTGATATGTTTAGAACTCTCATTGATACGAGTCCATTGAAAGCTTCACTTGATATGTCAGAGATATTATTATGTTGCAGGTATAAATGTTGCAAACTTCTTAATTTCAGCAATTCTGAGTCTTCAGGAAGTGATTTAATTTCATTATGACTTAAATCCAAGCTGTGCAAATTAGATCCACAGCCTTGTCCAAATCCAAGTTGTCCGACAGTTCTTATTCTATTATGCGTCAAATTCAATGTGCTTAAGTTTTCCAGAGAGCAGAAGACGCCGGAAGGAACAAATTTTATGTTATTCTGAGCGAGATCCAACGACTGCAGTTCCGACAATCCATTGAAAGCATTCAGAGATAACTCTAAATTCTTAGTCGGGCTCCACTCAAAGTTTTTGGAACGTACTTTCAGCTTCTTTAGCTTTTTCAATTCATGAAAAGTGTTGTCTGGTATTTGTAGTAATTTACAATTACTTATTGTCAGATCGGTGAGCGCCGAAACTGGGCTAAAGTAGTGTGCTCTTAGAGAGCTTTCGAAGAGTAGTAAATGGTTGCACTCGATAGCCAGCCGGCTTGTGTCTGAATTCACTGAGACGATGCTGCTTCCATCACCATCGAGAGTGCGTATCCTGCAGAGCACGCCGCCGTCCGACCCTCGGTCCGAGACCCGGACGCATTTGTCCGAGCCGTAGGGCAAGACCGCCGAGCCGACGTGCACCAACGCACAGAGTACAGCTGTAATAGCGTACATTATCACAGATTTTTCATTTCACCACAAAACGTCTCATAAACACACCCTGTGGGTCGATATCACCATTTCCGAAACAAAGTACGTGGTACACTTGAGCGCTGAAGAAAAACTTCCTAGCATTTCACTGCACTGTAGTCCGTAATGTATGTGGTGGTAGTAGTCCTTGTTGGTTGAAGTTGATTAAATTTTTCACTCATGAATTGTTGTTTATCGTTTGATATCAGTTTGTGTATTAAATATTTATTGCGAAAGTATAGACCGGCGCGAGGTGTAGCACGACCTTCCCGCGGCGCGGTTGCGTTGCGACTGTCAAGCGGAGCGCTTGACTCGTGGAAGTAGCAGTGGGGCGCGCAACTTAGTCGTCCCCGTCCCCCGCAGCCCTCATAAGCTCTTCTTGTGTTATGAGAGAGCAAGTAGCGCTATCTAGTAGTGAGTAGCGATACTAAAAAAGATGCATCGTTGTCAGCTGATATCGGAGCAATGAAATTTTAATGTAGTTATTTCGATATTAATAATAGAAAATAATTGTATAATGTGTATAGATATTTTATTGATGTAACAAAAAACCTAGGTGTAAGTTGAAAATAAGAATTCGCGCTTAGCTTTATTATAAGAACACTTTCTTAACATTTTGTTAGCACAGTTTCAAAATAGAACATTGCTCTAGATATTCCCCAAATCCTCATAGATAGGCCACTGTACTTAGTTTTCTTTGCTAGTTACTTATTACTCGTGATTATTACTTAGTACCTATACATAAATATCAATAAAGGTACATATTTGTAATAACCTATGTAATGTAAATAATGTTTTGATTTTATGATCACCAACCGACTTGAACGACAAAAAAGTAAAACCAATAAAAAAGTTTACGCTAAAACACCACACTTGATTACGACATTATGTAGATGCCGATTATCTTTTAAGTAAAAATACCTTAAAAACGTTTCACTGCATTCAAACTTAGCATTTTACTTATCACTGAGAGTCAACTGATAAGAATGTTGGCGACGTCCTAACAATATGGGACTCTTTTGTCAATGGAGTTTACCTGGAATAGTGTACAATAGCTGTAGACGGGTTTTTGCACGTGTCATATTATATTGTCCGACAGGCGACAGTCAGTTTACAACATGAACAGCGTTAGGACTACGTTAGACAAAAATTATGAACGTCGATAAGTGATGACGTATGTATTTCGAATTACTTAGTATCTAGTGTAAAATGTAAAACTCCTCTAGGTAAACGAGTCTTATAATGTACCTCTAAGTATCGAGGGTTGTATGTTGTATTCGATGAATGATCTTTACTCATCCCATAACAAAAAAGGCGTAATAAATTTTGAAATTTATTAAATTGTCTTATATGGTATATGGCAATAGGATCACAACCTATTACATGGGACTCATAACATAAATAGTGAAAAGTGAGTGTTACATTGTCCAGTGGCATAATGTACACCTCTGCCTACCCCTTCAAGGATAAGAAGCGTGATGTTATGTTATTTAATTGTACGTAATTGTATTGACTAACGGAAAAGGGTGCTTAAAATATTATTAACTGAATCTACATGCTTATTTACCGTTTTTATAAATACAAACTCAAACTCAAAAGCATTTATTTTAATTAATCCATAATTTGATACTTTTGAAACATCAACAAATGTAAAATAAATAATAGTCTGTCAGTATGTTTGTCAGTGAAGCAAGCCTCATTCCAAAATGTAGATTCGAGTGGAGAAGAACGGGCGAGAAACTCCATAAAACCTATACATAATATAACAAAAAATATCAATTATATTTCACCTCAATTCATTCACAACAAACAAGCTTACTACGTAAACATTTTTGCAGAATCAAATATAAGAGCTTTATGTAATAAAAACTCTATTTACCGCTAGATGGCGGCACCGTCGCGGAGATAAGTAATGCCAACGTAAATCACAAAAACACCCAATCTGCGTACATTTAATAGACTTTAGAATTTCCCTACACAAATTCATTGGCGTAAATCACGTTTGCAAGCTCATAAAAACCATTACGGAGGCACTTTCGAATTTTTTTCACCGACACTCATAACGAAATTTGAAAATTCACGAAATGTTTTATTGTGTCCTAATGTTTTTATCGCAGTTGTGGCAATGTCTGACGGGATGCGAAGAGGGGGGTAAAATGGAAAAGTCTTGTTGAATGCGAGAGTACAGCATGTATTCTGGTACCTACCTATGTACCTATATCATTTACGTAACGCTTTTTATAGGTTTCCAGTTAATGTATATTTTTATATGAGTTTGTTTTGGATCGGTGCTTAGCATGTCAATATGAGTGACAAGGGATACATTTGTATATTGCCGGCTATTTAAAAAAGAAATGTGTGAATATTTAATATTGTTATTTTGTGCGAGGGTCACATTGATGTTTAGCGTTAAAGTCATATAAAAATACGGTTAGGAGAGAAGTAAAATCTGAGCAGTAATCTGAGCTGTACGGCAGACGGTTATACATAGGTTTGATGACTTTAGTAATCAATGGGTATGTCTTCCTCTTTCTGTTTCATTAATCTGTGTCTTATTGTCATTATAATATTGTTAATTGTCAGTTTATATTCTATATTTATTTTTTGTAGTTTTTAGTTATGTTATGTGTGTTCTGCGTAAGAATAAATGGTTTTTCTTTCTTTCTTCTCAGTTTTTTATACGAATTAGGCGCAATTCCTCCACAATCCCTCTACGGGCTATGCTTTACTTGCTTGGTTAAATTTTGGCAATAGTTCAATAAAAAATAAACTAAATAACATAAACAATTTTTCATCACATCTCAACATTCTTCCAAAGATAGATGTTATAGTCTTAACAAAATAAAAATGTCGAGAAATTCATCTACCAACACCAAACGAATCTTGATCACTACTAACAACAGAACAGCCCCATAAAAACTAATTCCAATTCCTTAATGTGTCAAACTGTGACGTCATAATGGCGCTCATTAAACAGAATGGGACAAAAATGGGACGTTGTATGACCACAGCCACGTGGGCGGTCTGCACCACAAAGCGACCACAAGTGAATTCCTCTTTAAATACTTCAAAATGTTGCCACGTATAAAATTATATGTGGCTTACTGTAGCGTTCTAACTTACGTATGTTGAAGAGAAAAGTTCATCGCAAAAAGTTGAGCCGTCCAAATATTTGTTTTGCGGCCCAACAGCGGTTACAAATGAATAAATAGTATGTGCCTCTACTTTCTTCTCTGCAAAGGAATGTTTTTTTTTTGTTTTAGTTAAGAAATCGGGAAACGTATTGACATAGGTTGAAAGAGGTAATGGATCATTGGAGTTTTTTGAAGCAACCAGTTTATTTATTTTTACCAACTAACCCTGGCAATTTGTTGATGTCGCAAAAAATGTGATGTAACCATGTCATGCCATTGAATTTATGCAATTAATGGGAAGAAAAACCCAGTTCAAACTATCATATACAACTGCAGAAAACATCAATAGCTAGATAGATAGAATTAGCGCAGTGATAGAAATTGCCTATGACACCATCAGAATTATTAACTCGTACTTGACAATCCGGTTTACCCTACTAGAAACACGTCACACCATATGCGTTCAACACACACAATAATAGTCCCCTAACCACTTTCAGAACCTAATCAAACACACATCACAAAATTACCCTTCTAAAATTAATTCAAATCCAACCGAATACTAAACGCAAACAGTAATGTAGGTACATTTACAAGCTGGGAATGTTACGTCTACCACTACGTAACGTGGGACCATGCGACCACGACCAAAGTGCTGGAGAAGCTCATCTAGAAGTTTTGCCGCAATGTTGGCAAATGTTAGATGCAATTATTTCAATTGATCTAATTTTCTAGGAAATGTGCTTTTGAGTTTTGTGTCATAATTATGTGATCATAGAGGAATATACGTATATGTATATGTATATGGGTAACATATACATATATTCCTCTATGATCCTCTATGATCTATGATATGATGAGGATTGAATAAAAAGTGATTCAACGTCTTCAAAAATAATTTTAATGTAAACCTGGCAATTCTCATTCCATAAGACTTCCAAAATCACCTAAGATAATATTCACATAGTTGCTTCTTTGAATTTCTTATGTCCACTCAATAACTTTAATGTAAGACAAAATTCTCAATAACTCAACAAATCCGTTCCGAAATCTAAAACTATAGGTACCGCCTCATAATAATTTTCACACTATACGTAATTCTTATTAAAACCTTGCATTTTAATATTTAATATTATCGCCTTGACTGATAATGGTTCATTTTAACCCTCCATTAATGACATCCGGTGTTACACCACTACAGGTAACCGGCTTATCTAACCCTGCATTAGCACTTCTTCGGCCGGTCTATTGTTTTGAGAACGTTTTAAGAAAATAATTACAATATTCTTGTGAGTCATCCCTTGGGAATATTTTAATCCTTTATTCATTTATCTTTGGGTTTATGAGCGTTACGTAGGCTTGAAGAAAGAGTTTTTTTTTCTGTACACAATAGTACTGGTGCCAAAGTATTTAGTGACGTGTTACTAAAAACTATCGTTATCTAAGAATGGTTGACCAGAGCTAAGAAGTTTCTATTAATTTGAGACTTGTATGAACATGAATTGGTTTTAAATGAAAGCTGTTATAAATGTCGAATCTAGAGACATGACAGTGTTAATAAATTATTTGCCGAGTAAACATCACAAAGGTACTAGATTTTACCTATATTTATGAACTAGCTTCTGCCAATGGTTTTGTCCGCATTCCCGTGGGGTGATAGTAGTCCAAATAGATATCTGGAATATATTCGGCTGTTGCAAATTTTATCTTGATCCCTTCAGCTGTTTTGACATGATTAAGTAACAAACGTATACATAACGTAATCAATACAAGTCTCTTTTTATAAATTGTCCCATTTTTGGAATAAATTGGGAAAATATTCAAAGAGTACATAATTATTTTTGACGTCAA